GAGCTCCACAACATGTCCGACGCTGACTTGGAGCGGCAGGCCAAGAGGACCTTCATCCCTTTCAGCCGGTGGAAGGTGCCGCGGAGCATCTAACCGCCAGCCAACGAGTAGAAGAAGAGACGAGCAGGAGGCAGTGGATCCAGGTTTTCTAGGGACCTCCAGAGACCTCGAGAGGGAGGGGGGCGAGGGCGATGATGATGATGATGATGATGATGATGATGATGATGATGATGATGATGATGATGATGATGATGATGATGATGATGATGATGATGCTGATGATGATGATGATGATGATGATGATGATGATGATGATCATGATGATGATGATGCTGATGATGATGATGATGCTGCTGATGATGATGACAATGATGATGATGATGATGATGATGATGATGATGGTGATGATGCTGTTGTTGATGATGATGCTGATGATGATGATGATGCTGATGCTGCTGATGATGCTGATGCTGATACTGATGATGTTAATTATGCTGATGATGATGATGATGATGATGATGATGATGGTGATGATGATGATGATGATGATGATGATGCTGATGGTGATGATGATGATGATGATGATGATGATGATGATGATGATGATGATGATGATGATGATGGCGATGCTGATGATGATGAGGATGATGCTGACGAAGATGATGAGGATGATGAGGATGATGACGATGCTGATGCTGCTGCTGATCATGACGACGATGACGATGATGATGCTGACGATGATGTTAATCATGCTGAGATGGAGATGGAAGATAAGGGCACTGATGATGTTGAGGGTATTAGGATGAGGAAGGTGGCAATGATGATGTTAACATGATGTAGACGGTGAAGACTATAACGATGATGTTGACGATGATTAAGATGGTGATGGTGATGGTGATGGTGGTGATGATGATGCTGATGACGACTGTGATGGTGGTGACGGGCGTCTGGGACGAAACAACACTTTCACACACATCCATAGCAAATCGTGCAGCACCTCATCTTCTACTACTGGGATGATTTTGCGCAAGTATTTCGCAAGCCATTCCTCCTTCTCGATCTGCTTGTCCCCTTCTTCTCCCTTGTCATATTCCCTCTCACTCTTCCTCGCCCTCGCCGTCCTTCTCGTCGTCGTCGTCTTCGTCGTCGTCGTCGTCGTCATCGTCGTCGTCTGCATCCTCTGCGTCCTCCCCCTCCTCCTCCTCCTCCTCCTCCTCCTCCTCTTCCTCCTCCTCCTCCTCCCATCTCAAGCGCCGTTCGGGCCCGAGTGCTGTCCTTTTTGGCCATTGCACTCCATGCCCGACCCCACGCGCGCCCCCACGGGGTGCTTGAGGGGCGCCGAGCCAGCCCCGCCTGGGGCCGTTCTCGGCGGCAGAAGCGCAGGGGATCATGGCGGCTACGGGACCTTGGACCAGGTGCAACGGATGCGGGCGCTGCGAGTACAACTCCACGTTAGCGGCCCGCGATCGCAGGTGAACCTGTGGCAGACAGGGCAAGCGGTACAAGCCCAAGGGCGGCAAAGATCAGGACGGCCAGGCCAACTCGCTCGTGGAGGTGGCCCCGAAGAACGGGAAGCCGCCCGAGGGCGCGGGCCAGGCCAAGGGAGGAGGTGGCGCCAGTCAGGCCGCCAGCGCTGGCCAGGATGCGTCACCTACCTCTCGCCTGCAGCTGCTCGAGCAGACGATTTCCACTACCACTGACCCTCTCTTGCTGAAGTTGCTGCAGGATGAGGTCGGGAAGCTGAAGGTGGCCACTCAGCCGACCCAGAGCCCCGAGGTGGCGCTCAGGTTGGCTTCGGGCGCGTGGCGCGACGCCACCCTGCGCCACGACCAGGCCGTCAACGCGGTGGTCAAGGCGCAGGAGAACCTCGCCAAGGCCCAGCAGCGCGAGAAGGAGGCCGCACTCGCTCTTGCCAAGGCGGTGCAGTTCAGGACGCTCGCGACGTAGGGCCTCGCGTCCGACAAGGGGATCACCCCGAAGGAGAAGGAGGTTCTGTTCCAGGTGCAGATCGACGAGGACTTCGTCGCTTCGCTCGACGGCCTGGACAGAGCAGCAGGACCGCGAGGCCTGGCAGAACTTGGAGAAGGAGCTCAGGAGCGCGCGGCCCCTCATGGAGGGCAAGCACTCGGAGGTCCAGCAGTGGCAGGCCCGCATGACGGAGCTCCGCCAGAAGGTCGACGAGCGGCTCGCCAAGAAGAGGCGCGCTGACGCAGGCGACGCCGCCGTTCCAGCGGGCGGTCCGCAGGGTGCGGGGCCAGCGCCGGCGGCGGGGGCCCCCGCGGCAGGCGGGGGCGCCAGCAGCGTGGCCGCGGCGCAGCCGGCCTCCGGGGCTGCGGGCGGCGGCGACGAGCTCAGCGAGGAGGCGAGGCTGCAGCAGGCGGCGGGTCGCCTCAGCGAGTCCAAGCTGGCAGCGGCCACGGCGGGGCAGGCGGCGAAGACCGCGGCGGCGGCGAGCGGAGCTCCGCCAGCGCCGCCAGCCGCCTCGGCCTGACGAGGGCCGCCTGCGCCGCGGGCCCCGCCGGCCCTCGGGGTTGAAACGAGCAGGCTCGCGCGCGCTCCCCGTCGGGGAGCCCTTTTGATGCTGATCACTCTGACCAGGCTGTAAGTGACGTCTTCTTCGCCAGTATCACCTGTGCGGGGGGGCAGGCCTGGGGCTACGTTACTTCACACTCGTGCGACTACGTCGGCCTGGTCGAGGCGCACGTCGACTCCGACGGCCTGGCGGACTGGGGCGCCAAGGCGCGTGCTGCTCACCTTTGGCTGCTTGCTAACCCCGCTCGGCCTTCGGGGCGGGGCGCCTCGGAGTCCAGCCATGCGCGGGCCAACGGGGGGGGCGAGTAGCTCTTGGCGCAGGGCCATCGCAGCGTGAGGGGCCTGGCCGAGTCGTGGGCAGCCCTGCGCGCTGACGGGCGCCAGGCGCTCGATGGCATGCAATTTTCAGTGATGGAAATGCGTGGATTTTCCTTTGTGTCCGTTTGCTTTCACGGATTCGCCAGTGAAGGTTGGTCAGGGAGGAATCTACAGAGGTTTCGTAGGCTCGGGGCGCTCCTTGTCAGTCTCCAGCTTCCATGGGTGGTCTTTGCAGGTTGGAATGCGCCAGTGAATGTGCTTGGGTCCAGAGGGTGCCTCGCCAAAGTCGGAGGGCATGTCTTGAGGGCGTCGAATCCGCCAGTCACGTGCACTGCAGGTGCGAAAGGATCGGAGATTGATTATGCCTCAGCCAGCGAGTCCTTTAAGCCATGCGTTCTCTCGTTCGAGACAGTGGTCGATGCGCCGTGGGAAACACATTGTGGATTGCTAATGAGGTTCCGAGGCTCGGCCCCTCAGTGGCTCGCGCGCACTCTAGATTTGCCCGGCAACCTACCCCAGACCCACCGCCCTTCCCCCCCCTCCCCATGGGCCCAAGTCTTCCAGGACCGAGGCGCAGCGCCTTGAGGCCCGGGAGGAGGCAGAGTCGCGTGCTCGGGAGGAAGACATTTAGCTTTTCGGCGACGTTCTTGATGGGCCCGAGGCGGGTTCGCAGGAAAGCCCGCCCGAAGCTCAGCTCGATTTGAACGCTGATTTAAATCTCGATTGTGATTCGGGTTCGGGGGCTCGGGATGAAGAGGAGGGGGGTCCGTGGGCTAGCGAGGGGAATTTCGGCGCCTGTGACGGGGCATCTGTCTCTGGTGCCTGCCGCCCTGGAGCCAGCAGTGTCGAAGGAACGGCTGGAGCCGAACTCGTTAATCCTGGCCCCCCCCAAGTCCCCAGAGGGCCCCGGCAGATATCACTGTGTCCAGCCCCCCGACCTAGGCAGCGGCGCCCCAAGAGGTGCCAGACGTCCCCCCCTGCGCGACTGCTGACGCCCCTGCGCTCGCTGCCCTCCCCGTTTTCTTCATTCCGTCAGCATTTTGGCTCGAGCACCGCGCTCGTGTTGGCTTCCTGTCGACACCTTGCCAAAGGGGCGTCGTCTCTGATTCACTTGCCTTCAAGGCAGGCGCCGCGCGCATTCAACGCATCAACGGGATGTGCGGCGCGTGGGCGACGGCCGCGGAGAGCTGCGTCGCGGCGCGCCGCGGGATGACCGTCCCAGCAGGCCGGCCTCGTCGAGCAGCTGGCGCGCGTTTTCGGGCGCGCGAGGTTCGCGTGGCCGAACGTGTGCGAGCCCTCCCGCTTCAGGATTCCCGCAGTGCTTGATGGTCCAGGACGCGCGCGGTGTTGGCCAGGATCGTCCACCGCAGGCGTAAGTGCAGTGGGGCTCGGCAGCGCGCGACGCTCTGGGCCGCCTGCCAGAAGCTGGTCACGAACTACCCCAGTCAAGCACGCCGGGCGCTTCACAGGAAGTGGGCTTGGGCAACTTGGCTGGGGCACGTGGGGGACCCGTTCGCGGTCTCGCTCGAGTTGCTGGCCGACCTCTCGTGGAGCTCGCCGACAAGGGGGCAAACAGGGCCCGCGGCAAAGCCCTGCGCGCCTCTCTGGATGAGTTCCGCTCGTGGATTGTTGAAGACGGCTCAGTCAACATCCTTCACAAGAGCCTCAAGAACGCTACCGCCACAGCGCTGGAGGTGATCACTCCAAACGGGGCTTTGCGTCGCCCGCGAGACGTTATAGACGGCAAGGTCGCGAAGTGGCGCGACCTCTGGGGGCGGCAGCCGCTGGGTAGAGTCGAGCTGTTCAGGGCCGCGGGCTGCGTCGTGGAGGAGGCTGCCCGCCGGGGTCTTCCTGCCCTCGCGGGCGATGTGCTCGAGGCCGCCGCGCGCAAGATGCGGCCGAGACCAGGGCGGGGGGCGGGCAGATTCTCGCCGCTCGACGTCGAGCGCCTGCCCGCCGAGAGCCTCGACGAGCTGGCGCAGGTCCTCGCGGCGGCGGAGTCGGGCTTCAGCTGGCCGCGGCAGCTCCCCCTGATTATCGGCCGCCTCTTGCCGAAGGAGGCAGGAGGCGACGGGGCGACTGGCCTGGTGGGCGTGACTCCTCGAATCTGGTCGTTGGCCAGAGAGCCGCTGATCAAATATTGGGCGAAGGAGTCGCAGCCCCACTGGGACGCAGCAGTGGCGGGGAACTCCTCTTTGAGGGAGGGCTTCCTCCATCCCGGGCGGC